AGGAGGGGTCTTTGTTTCTCACTATCCTAATCTATTTTTAATCTTCCCCAAGTCAAGTCTGTTTTAACCATTTCAGTAATTGGTGAGCGATCTCCCTGTCTTTATCTTGACCCATGAGCTTTTTTATCTTATTTCTGCCCCTGTCCTATTGAGGAGGGGGATTGAGAGAGCGGCTGGGTGGGTGACTGGCAGCCAGCTATGGTGAAACCACCCCATTGCAGGTGGTGTAACCACACAGCTGAAGGCTGCGCTTCCACAGCTGTTTCCTGCCAGCCCCGGTGCTGTCTATGTGCAGTGTCACCGAGGAGCCAGGAGCTGCTCTGTGAAGCAGGCTCCAGCTCCGTGAGCTGCAGTCTGCTCTGCAGAGGTCAGCCTGCTCGTGGGTCATGGTAGCGTGGCGTGCTGGCGTCCCACCTCGCGATCCAAAGCTGCACGATCCAAGCAGCAACCCCGTAAGTAACAAGTGCAAATGAATCCTCTGCGTGTTCGACGCATCCGTGTGGTTTCTGCTGCTCCGCTCCCGCTGTGAGCCCGGTGCCGCTTGGCTTTCCGCCTGTGGTGTCATACAGGCGGTTGTTGCACAGAGGAGCTGGTCCGCACTGCAGCTCCCTTGTGTTCCTCAAGTAGGGAGACAATAAAATCAAAATTCTTGTATATGATTTTACTGCTTACAGTGAACCTAAACCACGCCAGGTATGAGGTCAGCCACAGCAGAGGATTTCAGGTGCAAAGGACTGTGACTTTGTAAAACAATTCACAAGCTGGGAAGGAAGGATGCCTGTCACACATACCGGTTTCGGAGGGATGGATATGGATATCAAACTTTCTCTCGCATGTTTTTCTTCGGTGTCTTTCCAGGGACTTAGGCTGACACACTAGTGTGGTTTCCATTTATGTACCTAGTCTGTAATTCCTAAGGTAAGACACGGTGCTTATTTAATTTCTGAGAAAAATTAATAGGTTTTATTTTTTCACCCTAATTCTTAGCATCTCTGTCCTGAACTTGAAAACCTTGAGCCTTTAAATTGATTAATTTGACTTAGTCTTGAGTCTTTAAATTGATTAATTAATTTCCGGATGTCTGTGAAGAAGGGATGGCTCAAGGCTGCTGCTTTGCAGTCTCAAACGAGACAGAGCTGAGCGTGTCCAGCACGTCCAGTCGGGGTAAGTCAAAGCTCCGC